GAACTAAGCTAATGGGGTTTTACAGTCTTGAGACCATATGGGGAGAGGATAAGTATCTAAAAGTATTAGAAAGGGCTTCTTATCTTTTCATGGGTGGAGTAAAACAGACTAAAACTATGAAAAGCAACATTTTAGGACGCTGTTTATGAGATGTTTTCTGGTTAGATGTCTTAGTTTTAAGTTCAATGTTGAATTTCTAATGTTATGATTTTTTTCCCCTTGAGTTTTAAAATTCTTTGTCTGATTCAGAGACCCCCTCCTCCAGATATTTGCAGAAGAATTGGCATGAGGGTCCAAACTGCGGTAATATCTCAGTGTTTATGATATCACAAGTTGTCTGGCCATCCCTATCCTAGTATAAATCTGACAAACTGGAAGTCCTTTTAAGGGAAAGTTTGAGCGATTTCATAGGTGAAGGTGACAGGGGCCATAGATCATGCTGTGTTATAGGACCCTCAGAATGTACTGGGCTGTGAGACACCGGCCCTGAGCCAGGTGGCAGCTGCTGCCAGCATCCCGTGCCACGCTCACTGCCCCTCCCCATAGCAACTCATTCCATCTTTCTAGAAATCTAGGTTTTCTCTTGGAGGAGCCAAATCTTCTTCCTGTAGCTTCTGCTTAGTAGCCCTAGGGATTCACAAACAAGTTAATCCCTTTGCCACTGCAGTTAGATGAATCCTTCAGATCCCTAAAGATTCATTTTCCCTCTGTGTTGGGGTTTCTTTAAGCTGCTCCACTCCTTCAGCTAGCCATGCACCTGAACAAATTCCTATGGTTCCAGTTGGACATCTCAGAACATGCAGGAACATGTTTCAGCTAGCCTTACCCCTTTAAAGAGTGTAGCTCAGGGTCAAATACAGTCTTGAGGCTTTGTCGCAGTAGAATTAACTCCATTTGGGCAGCTGAGCGAGAAATGCCCCCCATGATGGCTGGGGTCAGGAAGTAGTGGAGGGTGCTTGGCTAAGTCACCGTCCTTTTCTGGGGCTATTGATTCAGACTCAAAGGAGGACATTTTCATATTTTTGCATGGGGCCCAAATGGGGCAGTGGTGCTGTGGCTGGGTGCTTGAGAAGAGCACTCCCAGGCAAAGTGGGCTGATGGAGGGTAGGATGTCCTTGAAGGATGTGATAACTGAGCAAGAAAGGGGAAGTCCAGTGCATACTCACTTCCCACAAGCAGAAGAAAGGAAAAGGCCCCCAGGTCCCTCAGGACAGTTCCACCCCCACTCGCCTGTTTTATACATATGTGTTTTGAATTAACATTACAATCTATTTTGCAGGATGCAAGAAATTTTTTATCCCTTTTCCATTAAGAATCAATCTAAAAACAATTAGTAGACAAACCAAGCATTCCTTTCTTAAAATAAATGGAATTTTAACAAACCTCCACCTCTTTGTTTTTTCAAAGTCCTGTGAGTTGCCAGTACAGTCAGCTCTAAGTAATTCAGGAACTGATATTTTAGTATGTCAGGTTTTAATCATGCCTTGTTTTTCCCCACCCCCTGCGCACCACCCTATTTTGGTCTTTTCAGCAACATTCTATTTAACAAAAGGATGGCAGGGAAATACAATAGAGGGCCTCTTCCATTTTGCCTTCTATGAACAACTGTGATTGTTTCTCTTATTAACAATGTCTTAAAGCTTAAGTCAGTCACAAGTACAAACTAGAACCTCGAATTATTTAGCCCCTGCCAGAACGACTGCCTTTCTTATCAAAACCGTGGCTTGAACTGCCTGGGCAGTTCTTTTGTGTCTTGTAACCCTTGGATTTCTCAGATTCCTGTAAGTGGAGGCCTGTGCATTTTCAGCTGGACCCACATCTGCCGGATATTCTCTAGCCTTGATGGGGGGTAATGCGCAGCTGACGATGCTCAGCCCTTTGCTGGTTGCTCTGCCTTCCATTGCCAGGAACTGGAACCTTTGTTTTCCAAGGAGTCTAATTTCCCAGATGAATATTATCTCTGGTGTTATCTGGGTAAGGTGGTGGGGGGTGCGGGGGCGGCACAATAAGGAGCAAACAGTGATCTGGGACCTCAGAGGAGAAAGGGATTAGCAACTGTGGACAGTTCAGATTTCAGGGTCAAGCCTTTTGAGAATGGACTACATATAATACACAGGAAGGTTCTCATTCATATTCATTCTTTCTCTCTCTCTCTCCCCTTCCCCCCTTTGAGGAAGGTAGAGGGAGTAGCAATTCAAAATAGCTGGGACCCAGGGAAGGCCCAAGTGTAGACAGACAGGACCCTCAGAGGGTTCAGCACTGGGGAGTGACTGATGTTGGTAGCTTCTACTGACGCACAGAGGCTAAAAATTCCTTTCATTTGGCTTGCAGAACACCTGGAGGGTTTGCTCACCCGTTCTAGTTAACTAATTCCCATCTAGCCTATAAGCCCATCAGATTCAGCTGTTCCTTTCTTTTCCCACCTCCATGCTCCAAGAATATCCGGGTTCCCCTGGAGCTCACTCTCCCCGCCCCGCCGCCCTGTGCTATTTAGGACCATTCCACCATAAAAGGCTATCGACCTGCATCACTAGCACCTCCCTAACAAGGAGCTGTACACCCCAGCCCAGGTGGCACCTCTGCCTTTGCCTCCTTGTGTCTCTTGCTTTCTCTCATTTCCTCCTTGACTAAAAACCCTTCTGAGATCTTTTACATTCTGAAAAGTACACAGTAGTTGGCCTCGTGGGTGAAGGCCTGATCACTGAAGGAAGAAGCACAAGTACCTCTGCCCTGCTGCCGCCCCAGACTTTGGCATTTGAACCATTTCACATACAAATGTTTCTATCATCACCAGTAACTCATGTTGCATCAGCTGTTCAGGACCTATCTATCCGTGGGTCCTGACAAGGGACAATCAACTCTGCAAGAAGGTACCTTCCCAGCCCTAAGCAACCCATTTGTTTGTTTATTTTAAATAGTTAACTAATTCTCATGGTAGAAAACTCCAAAATCATCAGTGGTTTACAGTGAATATTTCCTCTACCCTCGTCCCCTGCCATCTACTTCTTCTCCCGATGGGCAGTTGCCGTTACTTTTTGTATATGCTTCCAGAGACATTTCATAGACATATAAGACAATATCAATGTCCAGCACACACTTTTGCACTATCCTTTGTATCTGCGCGCTCTTTCTAGACCAGCATATAAAGAACTGCTTCCTCCTTTTTAGATTGGGGGTGATGCTCATTTGTGAGGATGCACTTAATCAGTCTTGTCAGTGGACAATTAGGTTGTTTGGGTCTCTAGGCACTTAAAAACTCTGCTGCATTAACAACCTTTTATGTGGATTATTTCATATGTGAGGCTGGGCCTGTTAGTGCCTCCAGCATCAGTGTAGGAGGCCTGTGCCCGCCCAATCTGTCCAGTGTGTCATCACGTATTTGTGTCTGACACTGGCTTTGGAATGCACCACCTCGATCATTTAGGAGGTGACTAAACTCCCAGGGAGGCTGTTCACTAGGAGTCAGGACCTCAAGTCTGGAGCCTGGCCACTTGGCTTCATTGCTGGTAGCCGCGAAGCCTCGGCAGAGACTCAATGTGTGTGCCTCAGTGCGTCATTTCTAAACTGGGGTGTTAACAGTAGCAGCTTCATGGGTTCTTGTGTGTGAGCTATGACATGCCAGGTTGGAACTGTGTCCAGCACAGAGATGCTCTCAATAAATTTTTATTGTCATATAAAGTGTTGGAGGCTCCCAGGAGACGCACACACACCCTCTCCAGGACCAGCCCACTGGGTTTCTGCATCAGCCCCAGCAGAAAGGGTGAAAGGGCAGTCAGCCTAGGAAGGGCAAGGCGGTGGATGTCCCCGTTATTGCTCAGTCAGGGAGCCCAGATTATTCAGAAAGAAGAGAACCTGGTCAGTGTAAGAAATCACTGGGGTTAGGCTGTCTCTCCAGAAGCAAGCAGCACTGCTCCTGAGCTGGAGGAGCACAGCGGACAGATAAGGCAGGGATAAGGTCGGAGCTGTCACTCTTCTGACATTTTTGCCCAGTTTTAATTTTTTTTTTTTTTTTTGACTTCCACTCTGTTTGGTAGCTGCTAGCACTGGCACCTAGTAGAAATTCAATCTAAAAACCCTAGCAGCTTGCATCCCTGCCATACAGTAAATACTATGTAACTATCTGTAGAAAGAAACACACCTTTTAAGGTGTTTTCTTTCTTCTCCCACTTACCAAATCTCGCCTAAGATTTTCTGGCCTCTACTCACCAGTCTTTTTCTTACCTTTTTCTCTAAATTTGGTGGTTTCCCTCGCCCTTTGTGTGCGCCGCAGTGACATAAACCCCACTTCTACCAGGCTGAGCCAGCTGGTGCCGGGGGCTTGCAGTGCCCATGGCCGTGGCTGGGGTCAGTGGGACCGAGGACCAGGCGTTCCTCCCTGCATCTTCAGAAGAAGCCTTTCCTCTCCCTTGTCTCCCCCCCACCCTTCTGCCTACCCTCTGTCCCCAGCTGCTGTTCAAGTAAAGGACAAGTATGAGTGGTCCAGTCAGAGGGCCCGAGAACAGCTCTGTGGATATATCTTCATGGCATTTTTATTTTTCTAAAAGATTTTAAACACCCTCAGGTCTGGCCTTGCATAACCCTGACTGCACCAGCTGACCACAGCGGTGCTGCTGGCTTGCCCTGCAGTGGTGGTGGACACACTGTATCTTTCCATGGCAGCTGCCTCTGGGCCTGCGTGCCAGGAAGGACTCCGCTCCAGTGGTAGCTGCTCCTGGGCTCTGCCCCACTGGCGGCAGCCTCAGCACAGTGCCCAGGACGCACATGCGCGCGCGCACACACGCACACACACTTTCTCGCCCGTTTTCCGTTTTCCCCCCTGCCATAAGACTAAAATTCATGGGCCCTTGTTAGATAAAAGTTTCTATCCTGCTGAATGGAAGAACAAAATAAAGCTCAGCTTCTAACGGGAAGGGTCCTGCCGTCGAGCACAGGCGCTCAGAAGGCGGGCCGGAGCAAACCTGGAGCACTGGCTAATCACAGCTCTCTGCTTTCTTCTCCAGGTCTGCCCATGCAGCGGAGGGGCTAAGTGATGAGACCGGCTCTCCAGGAAGCCCCCCTTGGCTATAGCCCCAGGAAGGCCTCTTCAAACCCCATTTTGTTTCAAGTCACTTCTGAAGCCGCTTGAGAAAAATGATGTGACAGTTTCTATCAAGAGGATTTTTGGAAACCTATAACATCTTTCCAGGACGTGGCCTTTTTTTTCCCTTTGGCCAAACAGACATTCTCAAATTCCAAAATGCCAGCCAAGACCCCAATTTACCTGAAAGCTGCCAATAACAAGAAAGGAAAGAAATTTAAACTGAGGGACATTCTGTCCCCTGATATGATCAGTCCTCCCCTGGGAGACTTCCGCCACACCATTCACATCGGCAAAGAGGGCCAGCACGACGTCTTTGGAGACATCTCCTTCCTTCAAGGGAACTATGAGCTTTTGCCTGGAAACCAGGAGAAAGCGCACCTGGGCCAGTTCCCTGGGCATAACGAGTTCTTTCGGGCCAACAGCACCTCTGACTCCATGTTCATAGAAACGCCCTCACCAGTGCTCAAAAACGCCATCTCCCTCCCGACCATTGGAGGGTCCCAAGCACTCATGTTGCCCCTGTTGTCACCGGTGACATTTAATTCCAAGCAGGAGGCCTTTGGGCCAGCAAAGCTGCCCAGGCTTAGCTGTGAGCCTGTTGTGGAAGAGAAGGCTCCGGAGAAAAGCAGCCTGTTGGCCAACGGGACGGTCCACCAGGGGGACGTCTCATGGGGCTCCAGTGGCTCCGCGTCGCAGTCCAGCCAGGGCAGGGACAGCCACTCCTCCAGCCTCTCTGAACAGTACGCCGAGTGGCCGGCCGAGGACATGTTCGACCATCCTGTCCACTGCGAGCTGGTCAAGGACAAGACTAAATCTGAGGATTCCCTCTCTGATCTCACCGGCTCTCTCCTTTCCCTGCAGCTCGACCTAGGGCCCTCGTTTTTGGATGAGGTGCTGAATGTCATGGATAAAAATAAGTAACGGGGTGCCAGCTCTTGGCTTTCAGGGGCAAAGGTAGCCACAAAACTAACCATGGGCAAGAAGAACCTCACTGACTACACTGCAGTTGTGATGGGTTTTCGAAAATAATGTTCCTATGAGATTTTTTTTTTTTTACCTGTTATGCTTTGTTTGCAAAAACAGTTTAGGGGGGAAAAAAAAAAAAACTTGTCCTGGCAAAAAGAGGAAGTGAGTCAGTCAGAATCCATTTTCGGCGGGCACTGCTGATGTTTAGTTCACATTTTCTGGCCTGGCCAGGATTGGCACGAGCTATGAAGGGCTGTGGGATTCGAGTGAAGGAACTTGGAAGTACTCCGACATTTTCTGAGCAAGAGGAAGTCAAAATATATTTAACACCTAAGCCTTTTTTCTAGACTCTTTTCTACATTATACTGTTTGGGCTCACCATAGCAAATTCTCAGTGTTAAAGATTTTTCTCTGTTTTCACATTTGAACAATTGTATGGGTTTTTTGGAAATTTTCTCGCAGCTCTTATATATCCTTATATATTATATCTATTTGCAAATTTTTGACTGTCAGCTACATGTTGGTAAGATACAAGCAAAGTATTACTGTAACTAAGTTATTTTTAAAGTTAAAATATATTTTTATGTGCCTTTGGCTTTTTATTGCAGAGTCTACATTTTATAGATATCACATCAAATGTTGTCATTTGACTTGTTTCCGTTGGGGTTCCATTGTAAGCTGTGTTATGCGTGTGTTTGGAAAACTGTATTCATACTTAGCCTTGTTTTTTTCCTTCATCTGTTATCATACTTCTCACAGCAGTCAACAATGGATTGTAAAGTATAAAGGCACAGGTCACTCATGATGCTTCTGCAGAGACTGTGGGCTCCCCACATAATGTTATTTGGAAATATGGGTATTTTAGTACAGTACATACTTGCATTACATAGGTACTTCATACAACACAATAAAGAGTAAATGTTAAAATGAACTTGCTCATTTATAGTAATAAGCAAAACAATCAAAGATAATATTTTCTTTAAGTCCAGGGCTAGAAAAATTACTTCTCTAAAAGTATACATGAGTCATTAAGATAAGGTAAGAGGTGATTTCTAGCCTGTCTATATTTTTAACTTCCCAAAGGTTTGAGATTCCAGATACAGGGCTCCTCAATTTTAAGAAAAATGAAAGTTCCTCCTGCTTCCTCTGTGACAGATATAGAGACAGCTCTGCCAGTGATGGGTTTGTTTGAAGAATCTCAGTAGTAAAGCATCCTTGCATGTTTTTATCCATTATACTTTGTCCAAGCCCTTCACCTGCATTCTCCCCCTTTCAGTTAGGTAGCAATGAGATGGCAGCACTTATGCCCCTCTTAGAGAGGTAACAAAGCCACACCTAGCTTAAGAATCATTTTGTTGAGTCATTTCTCACTTAGCTGGCCTTCAAATGCCTGGATCCTTCTCCAGGGAGCAGGCACCAAACTAGTACCTGCAAAAAGTGTGGTGTATTTGATTTGTCCCTACTAAGTGCTGAATTGGTGTTCTCAGCCTGTGAACATTCTCCCACTTTTAACCTAATTTATCTTCACTTGTTTAAATATAAGGAAGCCCAAGATGGACTTGATTTTCAAACTCAGAATGGCAAGCCACCTGTGACCCACAATGGAATGAATGAACATATTTCTCTCCAAAATGAGTTTCTCCTTTGGAAATTGTTACTAACCTAATCCTCAATTTAGCAGTTCTCATCAACAAAATTCTCAGATTTTAGTATTAGTCAGCCAGTCTAATACAAATGATGGACTTATTTTCTTAGACAAGTCAATAAGCCATATAAATTGGGTTATTGGGTACATCCCTGTGTCTCCACCTATACATTAAGGGCAGATCCAGCAAAATAAGAGAAGTTTCCTAATGCCAAATGATAAGTTCCCCCTGACTAAGATGGGTAACCCTCTAGTTAGTTTGTACAGGACTCAAGAACATCACAATACACAACACTCACATGCCCATAGGTTCTGACTTAGAAATGCTTTATCCCGGTTGCTCACCATTTCATCCAGCCAGTCTTCCACCTCAGATTTTTCAGTTTCATTTTATGCTTATTAAAAGCTTACTAAAAGTAGACCTAAATAATTCTTGAATTGTCAGGGCGTCATTATTCTGCAATAAAATGCTACAAAGAAAGCCCCCCGTGAAGGAGTGGGAACTATGTTTATTTTTCTGAAGTGATGTATAATGCAGTGGAGTCTGTTTTGCAAATACTGAGCTGCATTTAATTATCTTCCACTTTTACTTAAAAAAATCCAATAGTGAATTTACTTCCATTGTCTTCCAAGGGAGGTCAATAATCTTCATCTTTGAAAAGCAGCCCAATTTCTTTCATGGGAAGCAGACTGACATGGGAGATAGATTTTAAAAAAAAAAATTGCCCAAATCCACCACTAGCAGAGTGGAGTTAATAATCCAAAGATGACAAATGCAGAGATGGCTGCCATACGTCAGAATTAGCAAGACCGAATATGTAAAACAAGTGTCATGCAACCATGAAATTATTAATGGAGTAGCTCATAGGGCATGTTCATGAGTCATTGCCAAAAGATGGCAAAAAAGAGCTTTGAATTCTGGGGAGGGACAGCTGGGATGGCTTCATGCAAGAGGCGGAGTCCAATAGGGCCTTGAAGGACTGGCAAGATTTTTTTAGGGGTAGAGAATGTAAACTCATGAGGAAGCGGATTATCAAACATAAAGATACACTACACCCTAGTAGGGTTTCTACTCAAAACAGTCCAGGCAAAGGGATGGAGTAGAAAATGCTTAGTTCCAGGCTGGAAAGAATTGGGTCCATACCTAGGGAGTCCCCACCAATAGAGGAAGAAAAGACTTGTCATCTGAGACCAATGAAGAGGTGGTTCCCAGAGTCAAAAAATTTATGTAGACTCCTTTATAATAATGTTTATTTTAAAGTAAATCATTAGCAATTCCCCAGAAACACAAGAAATTTTGAAAAGGCTACAACAACATTAAAAGTATATATTGAATCTTTCAGAGTAAGCAGTAATGTTCAGACATGACTAAAGTAAGCAGAGGTGCTATTAAAAGTGGGTGAAGAAAATTGCTAATTATCTTCTAACCCTACTCATTGTATAAAAATTAAATTGCGATGGGACTAAAAACAAGAAGCAAAACATTTATGCTCTGGCCTCGGATTTTTCACCATAAATGGCAAGGAGGAAGAATAGATAAACAATCTTAGATATTAGATTAGCATCCAATAAAGTCCTGCCCTCCTAGATACAGACCATGGCTTCTATGACCAAATAAAGCTCTGTGAAGATTCACTCTGTAGTAACACCCTTCTTTTTTTTTTTTAAAGATAAAGCTGTGGGTTCACTGTTGATATAAATTACTAATTTTTAGCACAGTCAACACTGGATCCGTGGGTACATTGTAATCAGAAGCTTTAAGTAACAGAGAAAAAAGCTGTGCCTTGTAGAACACAGAAGAGGGACAGACCCTACAGTAAGAAAAGAGGCAGCAGGGTCTTCCTATAAGAGCCCACATGCCTGCAGATTGCTATAACCAGAACAGAGGATTGCAAGTGAAGTGTCTGAGGAACAAACTGCCCTCCTGTCTAATCTCTCGAAAAATAGAACTATATCAAGGTCACTCACCTTTTCCTACCCCTGATCATCAGAATTTTCCCTCTCCTTGGAGACTCCTCAGCTTCCCAGCCCCCAGTCCCTTTCTTCAGGTGCTAAGACAAGGCCACAGGAGAGTATGAAACCAGCTGTCAAGAATGGTTCCAAATCTGCATAGATGTACCCAGGAAAGACATCTTTCAGTATCTTTGCCCTTCCAACAAGGTCTACACTTGCAGATTGATTCCACTATGAAAATAACAAATAGTAGTATTATATGAACAATATACCTGTGGGTAGGCTGTATAATATCCCTAAGACACCAGGCCCTAATTTCTGGAACCTGAAAATGTCACCTTATTTGAGAAAAGGATCTTAATGAATATGATCAAGATAAGGATCTTGAGATGGAGTTATATTAAAGTATCCAGATTGTCCCTAAATACAATCACAGTTGTCCTTATAAGAGAGAGGCAGAAGAAAAGTTGATACAAGACTGGTGTGATGTGATCGCAAGTCAAGGGGTGTGGGCAGGTACCAAAAGTCAGAGAAGGAAAGGAACAGTCTCCCTTAGAGTCTCTGCGGGGAGTGTGATCCTGATATACTGATTTCAGACTTCTGTCCTTTAGAGTGGGAGGGGATGCATTTCTGTGGTTTTAACCAAGTGAGTAATGTTTTGTCGAAGCAGTTATAGGAAACTAATGTAATAACCAAGCACTGGAGACAATGCAGAAAAATGGGGTATGTTAAGAACAAAGAATGTTATAAACTGAATTGTGTTCCCTGAAAATTCCCCTAAAGCCTTAATACCCAATATCTCTCTCCTTAGAGGTAAGGCTTTTAAAGAGGTAACTCTTTAAAAGGTCAAATGAGGTCATAAGGGTAGCCTTGAATGAATGATTGGCGGTCAAAAAAAAAGTTCTCCATCACATGCACACAGGGGAAAAGCCATGTGAAAACACCCCAAGAAGTTGCTATCTGCAAGCTAAGGAGAGAGGCCTCAGGAGAAGACAACCCTGCTGGCTCCCTGAACCTGAGCATACAGTCTCTGGAAACTGTAAGAAAATAAATTTCTGTTATGTAAAGCTACCCAGATGATGGTATTTTGTTTTTTGGTTTTTTTTTTTTTTTTAAAGATTTATTTGTATATGCATACAAGAACTGGGGTACAGGCCAGAGGTGCGGGGCGGGGTGTGGGGGCATGGAGTGAGAGGACTCACCAGAGACAGAGCAGGGAACAGAACAGGCAGACTGGCTGAAATACACTGCTGAGGGAAGCAGCGGGTGAGACAGGAGAGGCCCAGATGATGGTATTTTGTTACAGCAGCCCAAGCAGAGTCATGCAGTGTTAACAGGGTAGGTCTCTAGGAGTTGGGTCCATTAAGGCCAGGAGACCAGTTTGACACCACCTTGCTGGGGCCTCAGTGGCCATTGTAAGGAGAGGAGTTTTCATTGATTCAGCAGCACCCTGGCTGGGAGTGAGGAAGGGGAGGACATGCCAGGTAGAAGATGTGCAGAAGCAAAGTCTTGTCCTGTGTTAAAGTGCTTTGAAAGCAGTTCCCTCCACACACACCCCTCCCCCCACCTGAGACTGCCTGCCAACAGCGTGGCTCCAACTGTCTATCAATGTCACTGACTGATGGGGAATATGGTGTGGAGAATGTCATGGTATCATCGCTAAATTTAACAAGAAGCTGACATTCCTCTCCCGACAGGCAGGGTTGGGAGGCTTAAATAGATAAAGGGAGTGAATGGGACCGCCCCCAGGAAAGTTGGACCATTAAGCTGATGATACCTAATCTGATGATCCCTTATGCAAATTTGGATCAACAGTTGGGACCCACCTGAGACTAGCCACCCTAGCCAAATCCATGAATATAAATAGGTCCTCGGGACCCTCACACAGGGCAGCAGACCTCTCCTGCCTTGTCCGCTGCTTCCCTTAGCAGTGCATTTCAATAAAGCCACCTTTTCTGTTCCCCACTCTGTCTCTGGTGAATTTTTTCACCCTTGCGCTTCTAGTTTGCACTTGATTCTGTCCCATGAGAGAGAACACTCTCAAATCTCACCCACAGGGCCTCCCCTGCTGGCACAGGCGGTTAAGGACAGCGCTGTGAGGCTGTCTGCAGCCTGTGCAGCACAGGTTCGATCCCGGCCGGCCAGGGAGCTACCCACATGGCATGGCAGACCTCTCCTGTCTCGCCTGCTGCTCCCCTCAGCAGTGTATTTCAGTCAGTCTGCCTGTTCTATTTCCCACTCTGTCTCTGGTGAATCCTCTCACCCTCCCACACATCTGACCTGTATCCCGATTCTTGTATGTATGAATAAATAAATCTTTAAAAAAAAAAAATCACCCACAAAAACAAAATTGCCTGTCTCAAATCCTGAGACTCACATCTCCACCACCCCTGGCTTCTAGCGCTGCCCCACTGAGGCTGCAAGCAACAAAGTCACCAATGAACTCTGGTCCTTGAGTCACAGGACTTCCTCGCCCACCTCACTTCCTTCTCTGCAGCACTTGACTCTACCGACCGGACACTGCTTGTTCTTGCTTCTCTTCCTCTGTTGTGCACTGTGGGGCTATCTTTGTTGGTTTCAGGTCCCTCTGTTTGGTCACACAGCTTCAAAAACCAGCCACTAAGTCTTCTTAGAAGTCTTTAGCTGGATGTAAGAAATAAAAATTCTTAAAGAAATTTTGAGGAAAAGAAAACAAGGTACAAAGCATGTCTCCAAAATATTAAAAGGATGTAGAGATTTAAAGGACTAAAACAATTCTTTAAAAAAATTCTCATGTTTCCTTGGAATCTGAATTGCTTTTCCATATTTACACATTTTCATTATTTACTTTATAAAATAATATAGCCCTATAGAAATTTATTATTGTTTGCTATAATAAGATAGAGCCACTATAGCAAGCTTTTAAAATTGTTAGTTTAAAGTAGAACAAGAATGTGATTTGGAGCCTGTAAGCACTTAGAGTCTTGAACAAGCCTAAACAAACATTTTTAATCAGTGTTAGTGCTTTAAAAAAATTTTAATCTGCAATTTAAGAGACACTAATGCACAAGCTGGCAAAAAAAGAAAAAAGAAAAAAACTGTCACCTCTACCACACATTATCTAAATGTGGTAAAGCAGTGCATTTCTAAGACCCTGCCCCACTGCCGCGTGAGCAACATAAGAAGACAGGAAATCAGCAGCAACTGAGTTGAAGTCCTAATTGGTGGCACTATTTCCAGGACAACCAAAGAGTTTCAGGAAAAATGACAAATGATCGATAATTACAAAGAGAAACAACAAGAAAGAGCCAACAGTGTTAGTCCTTGGGGCAAAACAAAATTGGACCTTTGGCTCTCCAAATATTTTTAAATGATATAAAACGTGGTTTTAGTTCAATAACTTTCTGTAGTGAAAGAGACACATAGCCGTAATTCACACATGGCCCCCAACTGGCTCACCCAGCACTGCAGCTGTCACAAGTCGCAGGACACTTGATCCACAGGCAAGTGAAGATTTAAAGAGCCAAGTTCTAACCATGGACACTCAAAAGCACACAACAGGGCAACTAAAAGAATTTCCACTTGTGTCATCCTGGGTATCTTGGCATTCTTGGCATACTGTGCCCTGACTGTCCAGATGCCAGTTCTGAGAATGAGGGTAAGTAATCCTGGACTTTCCTGTTTCAAATGCAAAGCCCTTTATTTCAATGAGTTTCCTAGTTCCTAAAGCAAGGAACAAATTCTTTGTAAACATGTGCCTATTCACTAAAGCATTACGTCCCTCAGTTGTATCTACACATGTGTGGTGTGTATGTGTCGTGTATGAGTGTGTGACTGTGTGTGTGTCAGAAAGAGAAGGAAAATGACTGGCAAACTGCATAAGCCAGGCAGATGACTAAAGAGAGAAAATGGATAGAAGAAGTATCTGCTTGGAAAGAATTTGAGGGGTACACAATATGACAAAGCAGAAGCTGATTTTTGAAACGGAGACAAGAAGCAACCTAAAGGAGCAGAAATCCTACAGGAAAACACAGACTTGAAAAGAGTGAGAAGAAAGGACAAATGAAAGCAAGAATGACTTCACAGAAAAGAAATAAGGTGACCCCGCACAGGACTGTCCTCAGAGTGTATGCCACTGGACAAAAACTTTTTGCAGGGTCCCTATAAACAATTTGATCTGTTTAATGTTTTACAAAATTCATGGGCCTACATGAGGCACAATGATGTATCACTGGGAATTTAGAACAATGGGTAGAGAAGGGGTATTTTGTGCTTATTGTCCAGTCAGTGTAAGTGAAGACTCTTCATGGCATCAGGGACCATCACTGTTCAGAGGTCACAACCATCTCTCGGTGTTTTTTATTGTTAACTGTGCTAATTTTACCTCTCTCCTTGGAAGAAAAGAGTGAAAATCCCTTACCCTTCAGAGCATGGTTCTATTAAAACAACAATGATCTTCTTGCCTCTGCAGTCCCCTAACACCATTGATTTAATGGTGGTTAATCATCTCTCACAAATCCTCAGCCCCCATGCGGTCAGTCACGAGTCCCAGCTTCCACTGGCTCAGGGGTTGTTCCTAATTGTGCCCACAAAGGCAAGTCTTACCCGGGCATGAAGGAACATGTGAATGTTAATTCACTTTCTCAGCATGATAAATTTACTGTTAGAAATGGTATAGAATAAACAGAACAGCATATTTTCTGACCTTCGGGTCTTGAAGGTTTCTGGAAACCTTCAGGTAATCGCTGAATTCCTAGAATGTGATTTCTTTCCATGTTGACAGCAGCTCCGCCTTCCACAAACCACTGCCAATGTGTGTCTATATGGGGAATGACGGGGAGAGGTGAGTAGAAAAATAAGTGTGGTCCCATTTGTGTAAGAATGTCTGACTCTCTCCAACACAGCTGAAGTAAGCATGGTAAGTTCAACATCAGCACGTTGACAGGAGCCCACAGAGGGGATCGTTTAGAAGGGTCTCTGGCACAGCTGAGCAAAAGCTTGAAAGCTCTCTAGGAAAATGATATTGTCACGTCTGGAGGCCTGTTCAGGGAGGGGTTATTCAATTTGATGCCAGTGATGGGAGGAACACAGGTCCTTTGACCAACATATTTATTATTAAACCTACCATGTGATAGGAGTTAATCAGATGCCCCTCATATGCCTGCCACTTTTGGGGGTTGTATGAGGCCACCTTTAGAGCTCTGGGTGCTTTGACCAGATATCCAAACATGGAGGGTGAGAGCCAACACATGGACCCATCACATGGCCACCAGCATGCTATGGGTACGCTTGAGCCCTGGTCTCATATCTCCTATGTGAACGTTGTCAAAGTCAGCGTGTCTGTACCTAAATAGTGGCTCAATCTCATGCAGTCTCATCAAAGAAAGACTGTTACTCTGAGATGGAGCTGCTTGTCCGGTCACCCTCGTGGGGTCAGGGCCAAGACATGGGTGCCAGATTTTCATAGTGAAAGCTGTTTGGGCATCTGATTAACTCCTATCACATGGTAGATGGGAGCAGAGACCCAAAAACACACCAAAGTGGGAAATGAGGACCAGGGTCCACAAGGATATTGGTGCTAGGACCTTCCCAGTTAACACTGCCACCCCAGTCATTCCAAGATGCCTAGGGGAACTTGAAAAAAATGTTGAGGAGGGCACGCCAAAGTGTGGGAGGCCCTGAGGTGCAGGGTCTAGAATGGACACTCCAGGATCCAAGGGCTGCTCCGATGTCAAAGGTGAATAGCAACATCTGTTACCGACTAGAAGAGTTAAGGAGTGATAAACCCATTCTGACACTGGGACTTGTGCTCTCTGACGTTAAAATACTTAAAAAGACGATAGACTTTATGGTCAGACAGACTTGGGATTGACTCACCACTCAGACAATGCCAGTGTATGACGATGGGTCACTGGGGATAACGGTGTCTACGTCATAGTAATTTGCAGTGATCAGATAACTTTTCTATAGAGGACCAGATGATAAATTTTCAGCAGCCCATACAGTCTCTGTTGCAACTACTCAATTCTGTAGCATGAAAGTTGTCATAGACAATGTGCAAATTGAATGAATGTTGCTGTGTTTCAATAAAATTCTATTCTATACCAAATTCTATAAAAGGAGACTGTCGGCTGAATTTTGCCCACAGGTCTTAGTTTCTCAAACATTTATTTGGAGAATTAATTCAGATAATGCTGATAAAAGTTTTATAATAGCTACCCACACTTAATAAACATTTAATAAATATTAGCTGTTTTAATTTTACCAACAAAATGACTACATTTTAAACCTACTAGTTTAAGGTTCTCATATGCCTGCCATGTTTTTTGGCCTCACATTTTATAGCTAACAGTGCACATTTAAGGGAACATAGTAGGTGAACAAATAATTCATCGCTTGAATTCTTCCTCATTACTTGATTTTTCAAAAGTTTTTAGAGTCACTCTCCATATGAAAACCATGACTATCTATGTTGGTCAAAAGGAGCTGGTATCTCTTAAGTGTGACTTTATTATGCATATGAAAGTTTTCTGTTAATTCATACTTCTATTGCAGTAATATGAAACAGTGGGAACTTTAGCTGCTGCAAATAAATTTTTTTCTTTGAAACCTACATTTTAAGAGCTCACAATCATGCATATTATTCCCATAAGTACTTATTACGCATATCTACAGTCTCTTTCTGCACCTCTTTTATAAACAGCATTTCTCTTTTTTCACGGTCCTGTCATCTTTTATTTCACACTATTTCCCATTCCTAGTTCTCTCCTTCTATTATAATATATAAAATATCTTTGATGTGTTATTTGATTAATGAATTTTATTTTTTAATTAATTTTTTATTGAAACAACATTGGTTTGCAATGCTGTATATGACTTAGAGGTATAGGATCACACCTTCTCAGATGTATGTCACCACACCACACCCACCACCAGTGTCCACACTCCTTCACATAACTCTTCATGCCCTCTCTCCCCAATCTGCTCTCTTCCTCCTTCTCTGGTGGCATCAGTTCTACAGTCAGACTTCTATGCTTTATTGCTTTAGTTTAATCTGACCTTTTGTTTTGTTTCTCTATTTTATATGTAAATGACACATCCCGTATTTGTCTTTCTCCTAACTTAATTAGCTTAGCATAATCCCTTCCATTCCATCCATGTTCAAGCAAATGTCAAGAGTTTATCTGTTTTTATAGCTGAGTAGTATTTCATCTGTGTGTATGTGTGTGTATGTATGACATTTTCCTAATGCGCTCATGTGTCTTTGGGCATATAGGTTGTTTCTATAACTTGGCTATTATAAATAGTGCTACAATAAATGAATAACATTTATTTGGTCCATGACCCTGTTCTCCATTCTGTTCTGTTGTGTAAGACAGTGACCATCAATGTACATTGGTCTTGGGGGTGAGCACTGAACCCAAACTGTGAACTCTGAGTGTCAGTTACTTCTGCTGGTCTTATTTTTAACTAGTGGGATGATATTTAACAGAAGATAATGAGCAAGTAGAAAACAGCAGAAACCAGGGATAGGAAGGGACATAAACCTATGATGATTAAATCCTCGTCCCAATCTCTCCTAAAGTTGAGTAGCACCCTTGTCCTCTCGTGTTTTGGCTATGAGAGAAAATGAATTCCTCCTTTGCTTAAGCATGTTTTAGCTGCTCATGGACTATGATATCACCCCTGTGTGATGTGAATCATCCCAACTTGGCTCATCCCAAGAGAAATCTTCCCGTAGGCCATTCACCAAATGTGTAACTTTGGCATCAGAGAAAAAAATGTCCAGAGAATAAGGCTCATGATTCAAGGGCACTTCTTTAATCTGGAAGAGCAGATAGAACTAACTAGGTCAAGAAGAGAATGACTTCCAATGCATGGACATGGATTTTACATTTATTTTATATAACTAATAAAACTGGAAACATTGTGCCCATTAGAGTGAGGAAAAAGAAAGCCCCAAGCTGATAGGACTAGGCTAAGGGAAACCACGGATTATCTTGTAGCCAGCAGCTTTCAATCACAGTTTTGAGGAAAATATAGTTTTAGGAAAAACTTTGTTTAAAACAAAAAAGGGGGGGAGCACCAGAAGCCCCCTGTTTGTTCTTCCATTTAACATTTTGTTATTGTCCTAGTTCTCCCCTCATTTCTTGGGATTATCATTTGGGCATTTGGTGAAAACACAGCAGATATGGCTACACATTTGGCATAATGGTTCCAGTTCTCTCAATTTTCTTGTATTCAGCAGCATGGGCTGCCAAAAAAAAAAAAAAAAAAAAAAAAAAAAAAAAAAAACAGACTGATATTGAACAACTGAAAGTTATTTTCTCACAGTTCTGGAGTCTGGAAGTCTGAGATCAGGGTGCCAGCATGGCACGGTTCTAGTGAGTACTCTCCTCCTGGCTTGCCTTCTTGCTGTGTTCTTACATGGCAGAGAAAGACAGCAGCTTCTGGTGTCTAGTTGTATAAGGGCACTAATCCCATTATAAGGACCCCACTCTTATGACCTCATTAAACCCCACTTCCAAATACCTTCCCATTAAAGCTTTATCCAATGAATTTGGGCAAGACAAAATTCAGTCTTTTGTATCCCCTTAGCAGATGCTGATTTTTAGAGATTAACCTATTAGTTAATCAATTATATTTTCATCTATTGTTCATACAGCAAAGTATGACAGAGTTAGGAAGGCCCTTTAGAGTCAGAGAACTGCATAGGCTATTTGAGTAGGTGACTTAAACCTTAAGTTGAGTAGCACCCTTGTCCTCTCGTGTTTTGGCTATGAGAGAAAATGAATTCCTCCTTTGCCTAAGCATGTTTTAGCTGCTCATGGACTCAAAAGCTGCTGCTTTTTTTTTTTAAATAAATTTTATTTTTATATTCCCCATACAATTGCAACCCCCTTATTTTGACCCCAATCCCTCCCCTCCCCGCCTCCCACCCCCCATAGAGTGTCTCTGGTTTATAGTTTTTTGTTGATTTTGATTTTCACTTTCTTATAGTTATTCATTTTCCTGGTCCCTTATTTAAGTTTTCTAGATTCCTGCTATGAGTGAGACCATCCGGTACTTTTCTTTTTCTTTCTGGCTTATTTCGCTGAGCATGATCCCTTCCAGCGCCATCCATGTTGTTGCAAATTGCATGTGTTTATCTTTTTTGAATGCTGAGTAATATTCCATGGTATATATGGACCACATCTTCTTGATCCAGTCATCTATTTTTGGGCATTTGGGTTGTTTCCAAAGCTTAGTTATTGTAAACAGTGCTGCTATAAACATAGGGGTGCAGGTGCTCTTTGGAATTGATGTTTCTGTGTCCTTTGGGTAAAGACCTAGGAGTGGAATTGCTGGATCATATGGAAGCTCTATGTTTAGTAGGCCAGGAAATCTCCACACAGCTCTCCATAGTGGTTGGACCAGTTTGTACTCCCACCAACAGTGCAGGAGAGTTCCTTTTTCTCCACATCCTCGTCCCACCCACCAACTGGGAGAACATTTTTGCACACAACACCAATGATAAAGGACTGATCACAAAAATCTGCAAAGAGCTGATGAGACTCACCAACAACAAAGAAAATAATCCTGTCAAAAAATGGGCAGAAGAGCTAAAAAGAAACTTCTCTGAAGAGGAAATGCAAATGGCCAACAGGCATATGAAAAAATGTTCAACATCACTTGTAATCAGGGAAATGCAAATCAAAACTACCATGAGATACCATCTTACACCAGTGAGAATGGCACATATTAAAAGCTGCTGCTTTTGAGTTTCATTTTCCTTTTCTGGATAAAATGAGTTAATAAGATTATCTTCTTCACAGGAAT